TTACACCAAAAAAGAAGCCATTCAAGAGAAAATGAACATACATTCCATCGATTACGTGCTTAGATATGTTCCGATCATATAAACAATCCACTCCACTCCACGGATGCTGCTCGGGAACACACGGATCCCCATTCCACCCCAGACGAAGAGGAAGTCCAAGCGCATCCCTCAACTTGTGTAAAGCTCTAACTACACATCAACCCAACAAAACAATCCTNAAAAAATCTCAAAAAAAAAAAATAAAAAAAATCGTAGCCTATACTTACTTTCTTCCGACGAAGTCTTGGACTCGGCCAACACTATCTCCAAAACCTCGACTGCGCTAATTATCGCACGATCCCCCTTCGTCGGCCGCAAAGTCACCGTCAAACTCCTCCCACCAACACTAACCGTCACATTCAAAACAAGCGCTGTATTCACTCCCCCACTCATTCCCACCACATCCACATCCTGCAACACAACATCTCCATTAACCAGCACATTAAACACTCTCTGCCCAGGCCCCGTCACGGACGAATCAATCTCCGCGAAATGCAGCCACAGAGAATAATTCCTCACGGGCTCCACCTCGATCGCTATCACCAAATCCCTCACCCCATCGCCGCTCACAATCGCCGTCTCATAAATACCCTCCGGATAGAAATTCGGCGCTTTGTCAGCTCCTTTAATCCCACTCTCGGCCGTCAACACGCGATCAGAACCCGAATCGAACGATTCCTTCCCATCCCAAAACCGGTCACCGCCCCACGTGTCGCCGCCGTAATCCGAACCAAACTTCGGCTTATCCGTACCGCAGCTGAGACGGGCGAGTGTGCGGAGGATCGTGCCCTCTCCGTAGCCTTGCCCGAAAAAATAAGCTCGGTTATCGATCTGCAAGATCTCTATAGCGAGCACGGACGGGGTGCCGTGGCCAGTGCTGTGGAAGCAGATGGAGACAGTGCCTTCTTTTAAGAAGACGAGGGCTTCGACAAAGGATTGTTCGTCTCGATTGCTCCAGCCTGAGGGGAGGGAGGATATGAGGGTGCCCTCGATTGAGATGTCGAAAAGGGGTTCGTTGCCGCCGATGGATGATGAGTCTTGTAAGAGGCCAAGGTAGATTCGGACGAGGTAGTGGCCGAGTGGGACCCGGTTTATGTTGTAGCAGTTTTCGGGGCCGTCGGAAGTGGGGAAGTAGCGGAGAGTGGGGAGAATGGGGGTGATGAAGCTGGGTCGGGAGGCGTTGGCCGGAATGCCGCCGGTGTAGGCGAAGTCTTTGTACCAGAGAGTGTTGGTTGGGGGAGTTCGGATGTCTGTGCGGGACCCACAGCTTATGCGGAGGGCATATGGTGCTGTGGGATGGGTTGGTTAATTAACAGGGATTTATGATCAATGGAATGAGAATTGAAATAATGACATCATAGTTTAGGATTGGGTTTTTTGCATTTTTTATGAAACTCAAGATGGGACTAATAAAGATCCTAGCTTTTGCAGCAACATGTTGATATAAAAAGCAATTCAACCAGAAATGGAAATCTTGCACGAAATTGTATCAAAGACAAAAGCTAATCAAACAGTTTCACTCAGAGGATAGGTCTTCTAATAATCGAGCTGCAGTCAATCGATAAAATTGCACATTTAATCGTGTTATTAGCATCGAACTATAGCCCACATCCAAAAATGGGACTAATAAAGCTCCCAGCTTTTGCAGCAACACATTAATGTAAAAAAAAAAAACAACTCATTTGCAGAAAACTTAATCAAACAGTTCACTCTCAGCTCTTTTTATAATCGATCGACACTCAATGGATGATATTAACACATTTAATTGTATCATTAGCATCAAACTACTGCCCCACACTTAAAAAAGGAAAAGGGAATGCATAGTCCACAGTGAACTTAACTGATTCAGCATTATTCACCAAACAAATCAAATAAAGCAGTAACAGAAAAAGGAAAAAAAAAAGAAACTTAATTTTTTCGCGTCAGAGAGAGAGAGAGAGAGAGAGAACTCACATCTAGAAAGAGCAGGCCTTGGAGCAAAGACTANGTTTCTGCCTTTGCCCTATATCTCGGTTGTGGGGAGAGAAAGTCTTGATTCTTGAGGAGTAAATGTAGCTTAATAATAAAAAATGAGAATAATGAAAAATAAAATGAAATGATATGGGATGAATGTAGTGAGTAATAACGTGCTCAACAGGTAGAAATAGAATCAGTTGAAAAATTCATTCCAGTTGGAGTTTTACTCTCAGCCTCTGTTTATACTTCAAAGTCTCCGAGAGTGCTTTTTTTTTTGTCTGGTATACGATGGGTCTTTTTGACCCGTGAATCCATGGTGGTTCGTGATTTATTAGTTTCTTTTAATTATCTAATCATTATCCTTAAATTTCAATCATTAAATCGGACGAAATGGTATTCCTGCTCTATAAAATTGGATAATTGTTTGTTTTCTTTTTGGACTAAAATGGTTTGACCCTTGAGCTGTAATAATCAAGTGATTGTGATTCAAGTCGGGGCTCGCAAGTCGCACGTGAACAGCGAAACTGCATAAATTGTTGCGCAATCAACGATCTGGGCTGAACTGGACTGGGCGAAAGACCTCAAACGAAATGGGCTTTGGCAATTATGGACTATGGATCTTTAGGTTACTTCATAGGCTGAAAAACGAAATTCAATTTAAGCCCAATATGAACAAAACTTGATACATGTGCTGCATAAGGAAATGTAAAATGAAATGAGAAAATGACCCCACGCAATAACCAAAACATAAACTATTGCACATGTAATAACATAATTTTTTATTTCCAAACATACAAAAATTTGACTTAAATATTTGCATACATACCAGATCTCTCAAATTTTAAAAAACCTTTTTTAAAAATAATTATTAAGATAGTTACATATAATCGATAATTGCCCTAATTTCTCTCCCTCTCTCTTATCTCTTCTTCTTCTACAATTTTACGCTTAACTTTTTTTTCTCTTCCCCTATAACAGAAATCTCTCTCTCTCTCTCTCTCTCTCTCTCTCTCTCTCTCTCTCTCTCTCTCTTCGTCAATCGGTAGAGTTCTCCGAGCTCCGGCGGCAGAATAGTGCTGGATCCGCCACCAATTTGGCGGGTAGAAAAATTGCCAAAGATCACAGTTATACCACCGTTTTCATTATTATGATGAGCGATTGTGAAATTGTAAATGTTTTTATTTCTTGCGTTTTATTTTGAAGTGGTGACTTCTTTTTCGATCCATGCGATTGTTTCTTTAAGAGACATCGATGGACTCCGATGCTGTGCATCCCTCCTCCCTTCTCAGCATGGAGGTCAAGTTGGAGATGACGAAGGTGAGGCCCAAAGCTCGGGCTCGTGGAGATATTGACAGTATATGCATAACCCGACTGTGACTTAAAGTCATTATGATCTTACTGAACACTAGCATCAGCATACCCAGTATCTCCTATCTCGTTATTCCTACCATAGATTAAGAAATATTCTTTAGTTCGTCTAAGGTACTTATGAATAGTCTTAACGACTGATAAGTCGAAAATATGTGTTTCTATTATAGTAAAATTTTGACTTTGTATTGGATATTTGTGCTTAAGTAACGTGCTTTCAACTTTATCACGTGTCTTCGAGTAGAAACTATCATTGTGATATTTTGGTGCAGTTAGATCGTATGAGCTCGATTTGGTGCACATATAACCAACATGGCAGCGCTGATATTTATCGAACATGGCCATGTTGATATAAACGGAGGTGCACAACGTATCAGTTCTTAACATGGGCATGTTAACACTAAGCCCAATAGAAATATTAAAAGTCCAGTCGTAATTAAAAAGGAGATCAGATTTTGAAACCTACGCTGCACAGACACGTAAGAGCCGCAAGGAAGAGCATCTAACCTGGAAGTCTCAGCGTTGGGATCAGAGAGCTCATCCGTTTCTCTTTTCTTTATATTTTTTTCTATACTTTGCTAGATTTTATGGAGGCCCTGCGCGGCTAATTCTCTTTTGCTTCGGTTTAATACGATTGAAACCCCGAACTTAATACTATGAGATCTAATTAGTTTTTATCTATTAATTCATATTTCGTATTAATTGTTTTTGTGTGTTTATATTAATGGTTTTGTGTTAGGATCGTGGCTTGATCAACTATTGTCTTGTGCACTTAATCTATTGCTTAGTAGATATTGAGTCGGATTTAGATAATTTATCTATCGTAAGAAGCAACTAAGTGTGGTAATTGACCGAATTTAGGCGTTATCATTCTTAGGCAAAATAGTTATACAAGTTGATATTTAACGGATTAGTTATTTGTCGCTTGTGTTGTCGGTCTCTAGTTTTTAATGCTATTGCTAGGATAATTTTACACGATGTTGGGAATTGTCTGGTAATAAGAGTTGTGTAGAAGGATTTATTTTGCATAACCAATTCGGGAGATAGAATTCATAATTCAGCGGCATCTACGTATTTATAAATTGATAATATTTGCATCAAGGATCAGTAGAATAATTCGGGGTGGAAATCAATTCAACCGGAGCACTTTACCCATATATTTATCATCATCTTGTTGTTTGCTTGCGAATCCCTTATTTAAAAATTGTTTACTATTGTTTTCTTTATTTTCTTGTTAATTAGATAATTAGGATTATAAATCAATTCTCTCCTATTTAGATAATAAAATCTTATCAAAGAATGCATCGTCTATTCTCTCTCTTTAGTTATATACTACCTCCTATTCTTTTTAAATGTCATTTTGGCTTTATCAACTATTAACCAAAATAAATGTCGTTTTAGATCTTTTGTATATATTTTTTCATTATTACCCTCATTTAGTTAATAAATACACTACGTCTTTTCATATTCTCTTCCTCTTTTTTTTTTTTTAAAAAATATTCATTTCTATCTTCATTAATGAGGGTTATTATTGGTAAAAAAATTATTCTTAATTAGTGTACAAATTCCCAAAACGACTAGGGAGTAATACATACCACATCTCAATAATAAGATAATTAATTCATTAAAAATACCTTATCCTAATCCCTTGCACGGACCCCATATTTAATAGCTATTCAGACAAAAGTACAAAAACCTATGCAATCAACAACACTTGTACAACGATCCCACAATCGCGGCATTATATTATTTGGCACCCATGTGTTGACCTTCTCTTCATCCTTATCCACTTTTGTTCCTCCCATTTTCACTCCCAATTTTCATATTTCCCCACTCTCAGCCATTAAGTACTTGAAATACCAAAAACTACCTCACAAACATCAAACCTATACAATTAATCCTTTTTATAGGAAACTATTGGAGATATTTTAGCACCAAACATTTTCTATTTATATGCCTTACTCTCCACTTTTAAAGCTTCTCTCTTGATAAACTAGGGAAAAAAAAAAACAAAGAACAAAAATAAAAAGATTTGAGAAAAAAAAAAAGATGGGGCTTCTTGATCAGCTTTGGGATGATGTTGTGGCCGGGCCTCAGCCCGAACGTGGCCTCAAACACCTCAAGAAAGGCTACACCAACAACTTGAACATCAAAGGTTTGCCAATATCATTAAAATTATATCCCCGTAATTAATTTTTTAAATGAAAAACACACACACCCACACGTGACACGCACACGTGTGAACCAACAATTATTATTTTGTGTTTTGATGAGTAGATATTGGAGAGGGTAGAAGCGGGCCAAAGTACGCCAGGTCACTGTCCATGCCGGCGAGTCCCGGGACGCCGGCGACGCCGGGAACGCCGTCGCCGACGGCGGCCAACGTGTGGCGGAGCGTTTTCAACCCGGGAAGCAACCTGGCCACTAAGAGCATCGGGTCCGATTACTTTGACAAGCCACAGCCCAACTCGCCCACTGTTTACGACTGGTGCACGCGCTTCTCTTTTTTAAAAAATAATTTATCTTAAAAAAAAATGTCATTTATATTTAATTTTGTTCAAATAATTTATAATCGTCTCAAATCGTGTTATCTTGTGTAGTCCAGAATAAAATAATAATTTCCTTGCAAGTAATAATTACATCAGCCACTCAATTAGGTGGTGGAATTTGTGTATTACTAAAAACTTAATTTTAAGATGAAATATTTATGCAATTGCAGGCTCTACAGTGGAGAAACTCGCAGCAAACATCGCTGAAGTAGAAAAAGAGTGTTGGGATCACCGGCAGTTGCATGTAAATAGTGTGCTTCATCTGCTCCGTGTGTGACGACCCGCAAATTCAGCGATTTTAATTTTCTTGTGATTAAACCTTTTTATCTGTCTAATATTTTCTCGTAAATTTTCGCATTTAGGGGCGCTTTTTCTTTTCTTTTCTACCCAATGATCTAATATGGACGGTGTAGATCATCTGTCATATGGTCATTTTATGGTTTTCTGTGAAATAACAAATAAGTGGGTTGTGAAATAACATATGGTCATTGTAGGAATCCTTGGTATAACAAAGATCTGATTTTTTTTTTTTTATAACTAACAAAAATAATTCATATATTTTTAAAACAAAATTATTACTTAATATGTGTAATGCACGTGTATTATTTCGAATAAACCTAACAATATAATTTATACTATCTATTGTGAAATTAGGGAAAAAAAAAGTTTGTACTTAATATTTGTTGTTTTCTCGTTAAGATTTTAATTCAAACATTAGTGTAATAAATATTTTTTTAATTATTTATTGCATATATTTGTTTATTTCAAAAGTACATTTTTTTTTCTAAATCTATTTCTTTAATTAAAAAATTGTGGAGTACACGAGTGTTATTCTAGTTCACACAATTATTACGCTAATGTTCATTTTTCATCTAGGTCACATCAATTCTTACATAATCAATAATGTTTGGTTTCATTTGCTACATTCATTCCACATATATCAAAGAGCCTACTAAATTTTCAATTAAGAAACATCCATTCCATATATACCCCCGATATATCTGGATTCCTAAAATGACGTTAGCAGTAAGACAAGCAAACAAGCAAACAAACTGAAATGTCATACTCTAAAAATCATAGACAAAAAATATGACATTTATGCACTGCCGAAAAAGTGTGACGGATCGATCTGCCTAATAGTTAGGCCGCCTTGAAATTGTGATTTTGTCAAGCATGGGAACAAGCCAACAAATAAACATTAATAGTCATGTTTATTTGATGTACGGATTGTCCAACAAACAAGTATAGTATGAAATATATATGTATGTATATATATGAAGAAAAAGAAAAGTAAAATACAAAGTCTTACACAATTATATAAAACCACTGTATGAAATATATGTGTATATATGAAGAAAAAGAAAATTAAAATACAAAGTCCTACAACATTATATAAAACCACTGAAAATGAAGCCAGGAATGAAGAGTTGACCAGCCCCTAAAGTATCTAGTTCATAATATAAAGCTTATGTTGAATAGCCATTAACTTAACAGGTAAAACAATATACAGTAATATCTATAAGTTTCAATATAACAAAGTAAACTTTCATCTTGTCTCATACTTGAACTTTCCTTCCACAGAAGACATTAGCTTCATCCTCGACAATTTTACTTAGACTTGTGCCTTTTCCCGGTAAGCCAAAACCTGAATTAAGAGATTCACAAAATTTTAATTTATTTTCCATGAATGGTTATAGAACCTTTGTATGAAATTGTCAGCTGTCTAAACAAAATCAATTAAACACGTTAGACATGGGTTCATACTTCATACTCCAACCACAGCTTACTTTGGAATCAGCTTAGCAAGATAAGATGGGCAAAAGAGAGTAGTCAGACAAAAGCTTATTTTCACTCTTGGATATTTGATTGGCTGTTGGATACAACGAGCCAGCTAGTAGTCGGTTTTTCAAATTCTAGTGTTAAATCGAATTTAACAAATTCGGTCTTTTAGCTCGTCAGGTGTCAACGTCATTTATTTGTAACACTGGACTGGCATATGCATGAGCACATCAAAACCAAACGCACACCACCGTAATTCCCCAATCCCACATCTATACGCAAACTAACCAGAAAATATATAATAAAGTTTTAAAAGGTTTCATATAGCTGATTCAAATTTTCAGAAACAAGGTATTACCAGGTTTTGCTGAGTAAAATTGGCATGAATTTCCCCCAACATTTGTTCCTCGTTCAACAGCTCCATCTCATTGAGACAGGGATTCACAATGCCAAGTTCACCTTTGAAACTAGAAGAGATGTTCACAGGAGGAAAATCTTTTACCATCAAAATTTCTATTTTATCAGCTTCGGTGGATGTCTGCATAGCAACATACTGCCAGAAATGTGGGTTTATAACCATTCAGAATCAGTACGTTATCAAATATGAATAGCAGCCAAATTCAAAAAATTACAAAGAATTTTAACCAATCCTAACCTGGCACAAGTGTCCAACTGATGACTTCTGGCTACAGCATAGATAGGGCCGCTTCAGGCAGGGTGCTTTCCCATCAGTCAGCGAAACGAGCGTGAGATTAATATTCAACTGAAACAAGAAAACAACCCAATTTAATCTCATAATGTATCAACCGATTCAAATATGAAAGTTAGACTAAGGGGCGAAAATAGGCTTGAAATTTCCAACATCAAAAGCAAAATAGTCAAAAATTACCTCCTCATCATTATCATTTGCACTTTTGAGATGCTCTATCAGCTTCATGAGCCTGTTATTCCTTGACAGCTTGCCATTGGCCCGACCATGTCCACCGTGCCTTGTGTTACTCCGCAAGCGACCTCTTCCCCAGGCAAGAATCTCAGTGCCCCCTATAAGTGAGGCACCAAGCAGTTCCCTGCTGGCTTCCGGCTCATTATCGTCATCTGGATTGGCCCCAGATGACTGCTGTGAGGACCGACCTCCTCCCCATCTTTTGTGCCTCTTTGATTTTACTTCAGGCGAGCGCTCGTCAGCAGAGGATGAGTCTTTGCTGCCATTAGTTCCTTCGTCTTCGTCAGAGTCATGGTTCTCAGAAACCCGATGGGTTGGCCTTCCTCTCGAGTTCCGGTAAGTGCTCTGACGTCTAGGTGGTGCTTGTTTCTTTCCCAGTGCTTCCGCCTGCCGGCGAAATGTCTGTGAAATCGAAGCTTGGATCTGGAACAACAGAAACTCGGGTCAGGTGGTGTCAGGTTTTTAATTTTTCGGATTTCGGTTCGAGTGTCTCTCTTTCAGGAATATAGTTTTTCTGGGACTTAGTTTTCAGTTTCTTAC